GCCGAAGCATTGCAGTGTCTGGGATGAGAATGAAAGGCCGAGGGAGCGCAATAGCAACGGAAACATCTCGGTCTGAGCCTGAGACCGTTTCAGTTTGAGGCATAACATTTAGAGGGGCGTAACAGCTCAGCAGGGACGCTCGGCCACACCATCAAAGATGCAGAGCTGTTAGAGGATGGAAGATAATGGGTTGAAGTCAGATCCGTTTGGTGGCGAGGCTCAGTCCAACCCTCTGTTTGTCTTTCGCCCAGCTTCCTGGTTTTCCTGCCTGGAGGCCCATAAAGCTTCCTGAGTCAGCTTGCCTTGGACAGGGACAGCACTGTGAACTTCAATAGTGTGCTCGTCCAGCCTGCACGCACCCATTCCCAGCCAGAATACCACCAAATAAAGCCCTACCAGTTGGCCAAAGCTCAAAGAGGTATTAGGCAGATGCAGAAGTGCCACCTCTGCTCAGGCCTCTAATAGAGAACGGCTGGTTGCATGACAGGTAAACTTCTGGAGAAGTACCTCGTTTTGTTCCTTCGGGATACACTTAAATCATAAAGTGGAATCCAAAGGATGTAGCTCTTTTATAAGTTACTGTTGAGAGAAAAGTAGAAGTATGATCGCAGATGGCGGATACAGTGGCAGGAAAATACATTAATTTTGAATAACTGGTCAAAGGAGCCTCTCCGACAACACTAAAATGCTTGCTAGTATTGACAATACACTTATTCATGATGTTTCCAAGAGTTGGATGAATCTCTTGGTTTTTCTGTCTCGGCTCTGTTATAAATATTGAGCTGGAGACCGAAGACGTTTGGCTTAGCTTGACACAAAGACTGGAAGCGCGGCGAAGCGGCTGGCCGGGTTCTGAATAAAGATAACAAAATCCAGCTCCAAACACGAATTAGCTCATTAGTAAATGTGTCATACCTACAGAAACTGAAGTACAAAAGCAACACTTGACCGACTAGTCCTAGTGAACATCTCCAACATAAGAATAACAGAATGCTTGATCATCAAACCAAGCAGAACGACGCACCGATAGTCTATTGTTCTTGTAGCAGCGTTTGCACAGGCTTGAGTGCTCCTGCTCTTCTTCATGGAATTCTACAGAAACAGGGGCAACCAATCACCCACTGACTGACTGACTTTATCTCCAGCTCAAACATTCACTTGATTGATTTCCTAAAGTGATCCCATTTGTCAGTCTTGGACAAGCTGTCCAACCACAAATCGAGTCAACAGACTAAGTTAAGTTGGGTCCCTTGGGGCTCAGGGGTGGACCAGTTTTTCTTAAATTGGCCACCAGTGTTTGAGCATGGACAGCTATGTGACTGGTCAAGAGCTGCTGTGTCAACTGGTCCCCCCCCCCCCCCCCCCCTTTTTTCCTCCAGCAATCAGCCCCAGTCACTTGTTTGTTTGTTTTCCTGCCTTTGTTTGTACTGGAGATTTCCTGTGTAAACTCAAAGAAACAAGATCCCTTTTGGAAAAGACTCCCCTCTGAATTGTTTGGATGACCCTCAATGTGGATGGACTTGTAGGAGTAATGTACCAGCAAATAACAATGCATATCTCAAATGGCGTGGTGGGGGAAATGTGTGTATGGGGCGAATACAGTTTCCTCTTTCCATCTGTAACTCCTTTATCCTATATTTTCCAATATGCAAATAGCCAGTAGGTTAGAACCCATGACGTGCACAGTGAAATCTAAAAATAAAAATCTCAGGGAAACCTGGTTTTTACATATTTACTCACGGAGAGCCAAGCAAATATGCAGCAACACATAAAAATAGGAACAAACACGGAAGGCAAGCCCGGTTAGTTAAGACCACACGAACACTAATGCAAATGTCACCACCAAACATGGCAACCAAGGTTAGAACTGCATTGCTGTTGGTGGCTTGAGGCTTGTGTCTCCTAGACAAACGAGTCCAAAAAAAATGTATTCCTGAATGTATGTCCCTTTTCCCCACTCAACAATATAGATGGAAATGGGATTCTGTAAAGACGAATGCAGAATTCCTGTAAAAGTCAGTGAGAAATGCACATTACAGATTTTCATTTTCAATGATTAATAGAAGAAAGCTTCCATTGAAGGAAAGACATTCTGCAGGACGGGAATAGAGGAGGGTAAAGATAAACAAAGAAAGGTGTGAAGTCATGGCACCCTGAGGTGGATCTACATGCAAACAGTAAATAGCACTTATAAAGAAACCTTCTGTAATTAAAGCAGATTTATGTGTGAGCTCCCGTTTCAGGGGTTACAGCGCCTTAAGCTGCTAATCTTGTTTGAGTGCTCTTTAACCAACACATTTACTGTCCCACAGGACAACGAACACAAAACAGCTGTGACGGTAAAAAATCTGTTGCTTAGTTGACCAATTGAGACCCTAATGCTCAGCAATTTGGCAGGATTACATTTGATACACCGCAATCAGACTTAAGTTCTATGTTATTAAAATCATGGGGGAACGTCGCATGCCACAGAAACGAGACCTACGTTGGAAAGTATGCGGAGCTTCTTTACGGTCCTGATCCATGTCAGCGATGCTGCTCCAATGAGCTCTGAAAGGAGGGAAGATAAGTGATCGAGAGTGGTTTTAACATTCAGGTCTGGCCACTCAAACCTTCTTGTTTAAGGCAAAATGGCCTCTTTAAAATGATCAGTGGTTTAAGACGACATCTACTCCAGGGCTGTTTTTATAGAAACTTACCCGATTTGTTTAACTATCCTCCTTTCACATGTTATTCTGTAACTTTTGCTGCTCAGTATCAATCAAATCTTCATATCTGCGGCTGTGCTCTCTGCACAGTTAGTGGTGTCGGCGAAGGGCGATAATAGCAGCGTTTATCCATCTGGTCCATATAAGACACGGGGCAGTTCCCTTACTTAGTGCCAGGGCTGTGCAGAGAATGACTGACAGGTTTGAGCTCGCCAAACCTGTTCTTACTTAAGACGCGTTCGCACACTCAGACATGCGGCGGTCACTGGGTCGTACCCGAGGTCAGGCGGAGATGTAGCGTCTGTTCCGGGGAGGGAAGAGAGCCATGGTGGAGGTCAAAGGGCACGGCAGTGAATGGATGCGTTTGTCACATTTATGTTTCATGTTTCAGAAGATTTGCAAAACACCGTCAGATCCCAATTTCCAACCCAACCAAACAATCCAGATTGAGCTGACGTGTTTAGTTGAGCACTGTTGAGCCTTACGCCGTTCAGAGGAGGACAGAGAGTTCCTTAAAGGTCCACCCTTCATAATTAGTATGTAAGTTGTATTTACAGTAGGTTGTTAGCAAATGAACATGTGACGCGTGTTTAGAATTAGTGAATAATGCCATTAAAAACGACCCTTTTATTGTATTGTGTCGCATGTTATTATCCTCAAATCTTTGATGATCCCAGAACCTTTCTGTCTAAGTCAATAGATTCACTGTATGCATATAGACTTACCTTTTATTCCTCGCTGCCAATAGGAGTAGTGTTACACAGTCTATGTGGGAGAACATAAAGAACATTTCATATTAGTGGCAGGAGGGACACATCAGTTTGCAACAGAAAAAGGATCATGTTTCCATATGTGATGACGTACAGAACTAAGTGAATTTACTAACATTGAAGTTAATATGAAGGTATGGGCCCTATAGGCAACAGAGGGCGATTAACTCTAACTTAGTTACCAAGCTCTTAATTACGCAAACAGGTCGTGAACGCCTCGTTGGAGCAGCAGGAGACTCACAGGAGCGTTTGTCCCATGTCCTCCACACTGGTGCGTCCCTGGGAGTCGTGGTGCGCGCTGCTCGTTTAAGCCAACAGGCAGGGAGCGACTCTATAGTGTCATTTCGCTGTGACGCGCAGAGGAGCGCCAGCAAACCGTGCGCCGCGGCGATGCCGCAGATGTGGTGATAGCGGGAAGTCCGACGAATCAATCTCTCTCTCTCTCCCTCTCTCTCTCTCTCTCTCTCTCTCTCTCTCTCTCTCTCTCTCTCTCTCTCTCTCTCTCTCTCACTCACTCACTCTCCTCCCATTTAGCGCTCGTCTCCACCGCATAGTGGAGTCCAGGCTTTGCGGCACAGTGGCGCACCGTCTCTGGACTTTTCATCTTGTGCCAATGAGACGCAGCGTGAATCGCTCTTCTCACTTGGGGAATATCGGCTCTGGATACTCTGCGTACTGCGACTGAACGCTTTGGGGTGAGTGAACGTTGTATTTGATACTTTAAAAAGTGCCGTTTAAACTCGTGTCATTATCGGCAATTGTCTTATTTCTTGTTTTAAAAGATGATGCACAGGTAACAAAAAAGAGTAGATGTCTTTCTGTTTGGAATCTGAATAATGCAACATCCATCAGTCAAACTGACACCGTTAACAAGTCATCTCGTGTCTCGTGCCCCAAAGTCCTCTAATCGGTTCTGATCCGGATCCCAACGCCGCGTTGCGCTTTTACGCAGCATTTCAACATGTCACTTTCTCTGCGTGTAGCAGAAAAAAAAACTTGAGTCAGAGACATGGGTCGGATGGAAGAGGGGAGTCCCCC